ACCCATCCTTTGGAGATCAAGCGCAGAAGTGCTGCCAGCCCCACTCGTCTCTTTGTCCACTTCTCCTGGCATTCCCTCTGCCTTCCCTTTGCCTGGACTGCCCCTCAAGCTGCTTGTTCGGCTTTTGCTTAGTGCATAGTATGAAGTCGGCCATTGTGGTTTGGAGAGTATGGTTTAGATCTTTGCTTTATGTGTGAACCAAGCCACTGTAGCTTATTTGACAACTACGATTAAACAAACCATGATTTAGCATATGTCAGCTATTGTCTATCTATATATTACTCTTATAACTCTTTTTAATTAAGTTACTTCTAAGCATCACCTGCCACTCTCTGTCATGATTAATTGGGATGATGTGAAAGCCAAAATGAAGCCGTCCAGAATGACCCCTAGGAAGTTTCATTCTGGCTTTTACATCATCCCAATTAAACATGACTGAGAGCGGCAGGTAATTTAAAATGAAATTGATGCCAGAAATAATACAGTGTGTTAGAGATATGTGCGATCAATCATGAAGAACTGAAAAGCATTTGATACTTTTATTAATTCTCATCCAGACGTCATCCACAAAAGATAGAACAGCTCAGAACGGCAACTTCAAATGACTCAAACTAGGACACGTTGTGGTAGATAGATAGGTAGGGAAGGAGGTGGTAGATGGACGGGCAGGCGGGCACAGAGGGCATACCAAAAGTCAGGCCCCATCGACAATTTATTGTATACATTTTATTAAATGTCCAAATGGGTTGCTGTTTTCTTCTAAGCCCGACCTTACTCGTTTGATGTATGACCTTTGAACGTCCCTAATATAAGGACATTTTCTCTGGAAACAAACCATACTGGGTTGGCCTGTGGGGCCTGACCTTTGCTATAGCCTGTATATACTGAATATTAACCTGCTGGAAGATAGAGCAGAGCAGTGGGAAAGCAGAGAGATGCATGATCAGAGTGAAAAGAGTGCAGAGGAAATGTAAGGGCCTGGCTCATTATAAAGATATAAAGATAGGCTTCATCAAAGAGGAGATTTGGGGCAGACAGTTCTGGTCCATGCTATTTTTTTCTTTTTTCATTCCATATTTTCCTAAGAATATAGGAAATAGATAAGACAAATATAAACAGTGAAGTGCAGGTAGATAGACAGCCAATACTGGTTTGTGGTAAATATATGGTCATTGAGTTTAGTCCTGCGTGTTTGACACGGTGGTCGTTGGAGATCTTGTCCGGTCTTGGAAGCTAAGCAGGGTCACTACTCCTGCGGATCATACCAAAGCTGTCAACTAGGCTGGGAAGTTGAAAAAATATCCCAAAGAAGACAATAGCAAACTTCTTCATGTTGCTGCAAAGAAACATGCATAGACCTGTCCATGAAACCACCAGGGGCCAGCTTGATTTGGAGGAGATATTAGTGATACCTTTGAACTGTACCTTGCATCTGGACACTCCAGTCAGCCATGATTTTGTTTTTGACCTAATCACTTGCTATCCCTCACCCCAGCTGGCCTCGCATTGCTGTTGTGAAGATAAAATTGGGAAGCTCCTTAGGGAGAAGATATTAGAGTCCATTACATTGCTAGACCACCAGAATGGAGTGGGAACCACAATCTTAATCCCCCCCCCCAAAATCCTTTGCTGATTATGGTAAGTTTTCTTTGCAGCAAAAAGCCTAGCAATAACAGGTTCTACATACATTTTGAAAGTATATCTTCACACCTCTTTGTGCAAGTACTTTGTCAGGATATTGCTTCAACTTCTCAGTCTAGCCTACAGCCAGGGCAATATTACCTAGTGGTCTCTACTCCAAGCACTAGCAGCCCCATCCTGGGTTTGGTTCCAAGCCTAACCATAGTCAGCCAGATATTATCACTTGCTGATACAATTCCAAATATACAAAAAGTCTACGGCAAGGTCTTATTTTGGGTAGGGTGGATGAGAAAAATGTTTGAACCTAACTGAAGTTTAAGTAAACAAATTGCAAGTTGGTTTGGCGCAGTATGTAAAAGCACAGGAATTTGTTTTGTCAGGAAAGTAATAATAGCTGCTTGGCTATTTAAAGGATCTGGGGTAAATCTATCCACCATAATTTTTTCTTTCTTTCTTATTCACTGCTGATTGTATTTGATGGGTCCTTGCAAATGCCGAAGTCAGAGTTGATAATACTTCCCACGATGGTCTGGTCAACATCACAGACTAAGCCTTTCTCACAAGGACACTTGTAGTAAACTCCATATAGACTCTGCAAGAAATAGAAAGATACAGAGCGTTAGCCCCAGGCAGTGAATATAGTTTTCCATGACTTATATTAACCTCTCCCTAATCTTGTGCATTTTTCCCGAGGTCCAGTAAATCGAGATGTTAGCCTGGGACATAGACTAGCTATGAATCTGCTTACAGATGTTTCTCCATACAGATGTTTCTCACTTTTAAAATATTCGTTTTCCTACAATAATCATGTCAACAGTTCAGTGCATGCTATTATCTCATAAGGCTTATTTTACTCAAGGATGACGTATCACTGTAACTTTAAAGTCATTTTCTGTGCTGCTAGTTGAACATTTAATTGTCATCAGGCTGAACAGAAGGTGCCTCTCTGATTCTCTCATGACTGGCATCTGAAGTTAAAAGAAATGACATCCACCTTTGGGGAACACTTTTGGTTTTCAGCTGCTTTGTCTGCGCAGCGAGCAAAACTCAATCCATCGGTGCGGTGACAGCAGCGGCTGTTGCACTGTTGGCTGTGCAAACACAGCTCCCCGTTTTTCTAGAGGGAAAACAAAGATCAGATGCGTGAAGCAAGATGGTTAGTTCATTAATTTGGCCATTCTTTTCGTTTTTTCATGTTTGTCCTTTCGTGAAAGACCAGGCATCATGTTTCTTTAGCTTCAGTGCTACATTTTCCGTAAAACAAATGTTAGTGCGTTCAGTAATAACCAGGTTACGTTGGCTGACACCAACTGTATAATCATTCCACAGGTACTTTGATGCCCATTAAATTCCATAGATCCATGATTATGTTCTGATCTACATAGTCTCCTAGACTGATTGCATCTCGGATATAAATGATCAGTCGAATCATATGCTAACATACTGTTTTAAAGAAAAGAATGGGACAAGAGCACATGATCCCCAACCCTATACATCTCCAAACACAAAAGAAGATAATCCTGGAAGGATTAACACAAGGTTATACCATATTCACTTACTAAGTTCCAAACCAGTCCTCTTGGATTAACAGAGGACTCTGCCAAGGCGAGTGTCAGCAGTAACAAAATCCAAACTCTGTCCATTGATTCTGGGCAGCCAGTGAGTTGATTTGAGCTCTTAGGAGGATGAGAGTCCAGACCTCTCTGGAAGTTGCCGTTTATAAAGCCCTTTGTCAAAGTCACATGAATCCTTCCTTCCAATGGATACATCTCATATGAATACATGTCATAGTGATAGCAAAACTTGATTTGGAAAGAAATATGAGACTACAAAAAAAAGAAAAAATAGACGAGAATATATGTAGCTCAGGGTTGAACTGTGGAGTCCTTGGGGTTCTCTGAGCTTGGTTGT